GTAGTAGCTCCTTTGTACCACAGTGGATGTCTGAAACTATGGCTAGTTCCAAACCCTATAAACACGAATACATTTTTTGCTATACATCTATACCTATGATAAAGTTTAATTTATAAATTAGACACGGTAAGAGAGTAACAAAAAGCAAATAGAATAATTACAACAATATACCGTAATAAAAGTTATGTAAATGTAGTCTTTCTCTCTCAAAATACTGGACCATGGTTGACTATGGGAAACTGAAACGACAGTGAATAGAACCATAGGTAAGGGGAATTACTGCATACATATTTTATATGTATGAGAAGTTTTTGCTATAGGACGTGTGTGCTTGCCAGAAAGACAGAGACAGAGAGACAGAAAGCGAGAAATCACTCCCCAGGGGGGATGGCCATGCTGCAATCTCTTCTCCTCCATTCTCCTCTTGGGATCTTGGGCACGCATGCACACATGACTGGCGTGAGTTTAAGCTACCAGGTCCGGGACTTGAACTGTGGTCTACTACATTGGAGTCCAGTGACATAGCCATTACACCAACTGCTGGTCCTGCAACATTTTTTTAAGAGAGATTTTTGCAATAGGCTACATGTGCTTGCCGGAGAGACAGAGAGATAAAAAGAGAGAAATCACTCCCCAGGGACATGGCCATGCTCTAATCCCTTCTCCAGTCTGTTCTCAGGATTTTGGGCACACACACACACACACAATGGGTCTAAGACTCAAACCGTGGTCAACTATGTGGGAGTCTAGCAATGTAACCATCTGCTGCAACACAATCTACTGGTCTCATGTGTTCCCTTTTTAATAATAAAAAGGGGATGACAGGAGAAAGGAGTCCCAAATTCAGAACAAAATGAAAGCCATGCTCGGTAGGACCACTCTGTTTTGATCTGTCCTGTTAACCACTGTTACCTCTACCGGCTCTCACAGAGCCTGCCCCAGAGTGAGTGACGGCTAACTGCTATTGAAAGGATAGATGAATGGGTGGGTGATTCTGTAACACTCCTCTGTGCCCCTCACCTCACCCCCCACCCCCCACCGGCTTCTATTTGAAGGCATCCCTTGGATCCAACCTCTGCTGCATTCTATTTGTCAAAATGTAGCTCAGAGGGCAGGGGCCTCTTGGGAACATTTTTTGCTCTGGTCTAGGACATAATTCTATAGCTTGGCAAACAGATGGCTTGATCATTTAACATGGCTCTATTTCAAACAAAATGTCCTTGCATGAGTTATTCCCAGGGACACCGACCTGTTACAAGGATCCTTACAGTTAATTTCTCTGATTTAGTCCTGATTGTGAAACACATTCCCAAAGTGATTACTTTTCACCGTCTCCTGAGGGGTTGCTGGAAGAAGCACTCTCTTCTTGGAGTCAAAGGGAGAACTGGAGTCTTTTGTCTCAAGACATAAAGGAGAGAAGCATCAAGGGCAGCAGCCACCAGCCCCTGCGCTGCTCTGGGCCAGCTTGCTAAGTGCATGTCCCAGCTGGAGAGACTCGAGAGGACTTTGTTGTTCTGCCTGCCACAGCTGTTCACTTTCCGGGAAGGGAGTCTAGGACGCCTGGCTGGCCTGTAGGATCCAAGTGGGAGGGAGAAGGATAGATACCTGCTCATCTAATTGGGGGAATAAAAATAAAAGACTTCCGTATGTGGCTAACCAATGCCAGAGGTGCTGGGAAGCGCCCAGGTATTGTGTATGCTCTAAAATGTTGGCTGGAAAAGTTAGACTAGTGAGCATGGAGCTCTCCTTCCCAGACAACTTTTCTAGGCCAAGGTCCTGAGGAAAGTGATTGTCAAGGGCTGGGCAGTGGCCGGGTAGAGCTGGGTAGTGTGTTGGAGTTGCTAACAGAGCTGTTGGTCTTGGAGCGACCTCTCTGGGCCCTATGTTGTACTACAGGGAAACTGGAAGGTATTTAGCTACCAGCATGGCATAGATGCTAGCTAATCAAAATGAAGAGGTTATTGCTGCAAGTGTTTGCTGTGCCTGGCCTGAGCCCTGTAATTGCTGACTGGTAGAGTGATGGGGAGGACCTAGAGGAAGGGCCAGGGTGTGAGAAGGTGGGGTGCTTGGGGAGAACGTCCATTATTCACCTATCAGTACAGAGCTATTTCCACATCTTTCCCCCAGTGTGGCCTTACTCTGCTGAATGTCAGAGCTGAATGTCAGCTTGGCTACAGGAGAGTGGCGAATTAGATCCTCACCCTTTATGTGCACTGGAATCACTTAGGGAGCTTGTTAAAAATACAGATGCCTAGTTCCTATTTCAAAACTACTGAATAAGACTTCAGGGCTCAGGCTGGCTCACTCTTGAGACCTGAGTGCCTGGATCAGCTGATCTCTAAGGATCCAGTTCTAACTTTTGTGAGGTTCAGGATGTCTTGAGAGAGGGAGCCCAGCATGCAATTTGCAGGAGGAAGATGCCTAATTCAGGGGCAGGTCATGTGGGCAAGTGAAGCAGGCCAGAGGCAGGGGGGTGGCATGGCAAACTGAACAGTTCAAGTCCATTCAGTTGAAGCTGCCTCCACCCTGATGCAGTCCACCTGGATTTCTGTTGCTTAGGATTGCCAGTCTGCTGTGGACAGACCCTTTGACTTTTCAGAGACCTTGGGAGTCACTGAGCCATGCATCGAGTTTGCCACGCATTTCTCCCAGTCACAGGTGCAGGGGCTGCTTTGAACTCTGTCTGTTCCCACAGCCCTGTCTACAAGAGGTGTGAAGGGTAGAGGAGGTGAGGCTGGTCTCACCTGAGAAGGGAAGGAGCTGAGACCTGAGTGAAGATCTTGATGCTACTTAGTGAGACTGTTTCCCAAGTATGGCCCTTAGAGTCTGTCCTCAGCTGATAGTGACCAGCCATCGCCTCTTAGAAGCCCCTCAACACCCCCCACCAAATCCTGCTCTCAGCACCTTTTGTAGCACTGAGGAACCATGGAGCAAAGGGGCGCCCTTGCTAGGAACTGAGAGTTAGCCAAGGCTGGAGCCCTCACAGGATGGAATTTTCTGCCTCAGACTTGAGGTGGGGAGGTTCTACCTGGGATCTGTGGAATGTTCCACAAAGGAGTGAGTTCCTCTAAGTACAAGAGAACTTGGCTTGATTACTGCATTTAAAGCCAGTTGCTGAAGCTCTCTCCTTCCTTGGAACACCCTTCCTTCCATCACTTTGTTTATTCATCTCTCTCTTTTTTTTTTGAGAGGTATTTTTTAGGGTGCATGTGCTCGCCAGAAAGAGACAGCGAGAAGTCACCCCCAGGGGGATGGCCACACTGCAATCCCTTCTCCTCCATTCTCCTCTCGGGATCCTGGGCATGCATGCACACGTGCCTGGTGTGAGTTTAAGACCCCAGGTCTGGGACTCGAACTGCGGTGGACTACATGGGAGTCCAACAACATAGCCATTACGCCATCTACTGGTCTCTGTTTATTTATCTCTTGTCTTTTAGTCTTTCAGGATTCATCTTAGACTGTGTTCTAACTAACTTCTGAGACTAGGTTATGTTAGTCTTCTTTAGTTCCACAGTCCTGGGCATGCCCTTGTTTTAGAATCTCTCACCTGGAATTTTAATGGCCTGTTTTTTTTTTTTTTTTAAGCGGGTTTTGCTATAGGGCGCGTGCGCTCTCCAGAAAGACAGAGACAGACAGAGAGACGGAAAGTGTGAAATGGCCATGCTGCAATCCCTTCTCCTCCTTTCTCTTCTCGGGATCTTGGGCACTCATGCACACGTGCCCGGCGTGAGTTTAAGCCACCGGGTCCGGGACTTGAACCACGGTCGACTACATGGGAGTCCAGCGACATAGCCATTATGCTAACTGATGGCCCCGATGGCCTGTTTTTAAAAAACACCCGAGTCTAACATTTGTTAGGGGTTCATTATGTGCCAGCACTATTTAAGTCACTCCGTATTATTGTCAAAGTAAATCTTCACAAGAGCCCAGTAAGGTTTGACACTATTGTCATTCCTATTCAAGGAATGAGGCTCGGAGAGGGTAAGTAATGTGCCCAGCATCACCTGGCCAGAAACTGGTAAAAGAGGATCTGAATTCAGTTTATGTGCAGCAGAATCTGCTGAGCTCTTTCGCATTTGTGACCAAATTGCCCTGTGCAGCCTCCTTGCAGCCTGGGGTCAGGCATGGCCTTTTGATTTATACAACACAGTCCCACATTGGGCTTTGAAGTCAGATAGCTTAAGTTTGCATCCTTGTTCTGCTGCCATCTGTGGTTAACCTTTAAGCCCCATGTCTTTGGCACTGTAATTGCACCAATTACGCCTGCCCTGTAAGGCTATGGTGGAAATTACATGAGACAAAGCACCTGTTGTCCTCTTGGTGTGCCTAGCACACGGTGAATGTTACGACCATTGTCGGATGAGCACTGGGTACCAATGAAGTGGAAACACCATCCACCTTTCCCCTTTCAAACCCTCCTGAAACTCTACAAAGATAGGCTTTGGTTTGGGAGAGAGTGAGTTTGATCCAGGACTTGGGTAAAGGGCTGGAGGGAGTGGGTGTGGCAAGCCTTGGAGTTGTTTATCTGTTGCCTAATAACATCCTATAGAGGTAGTGGACAATGGGAAGAATCTACGTTTGGAAGAAATGAATTGTGTCTCCATTATCAGTCCCAAGTTAAAAATGAACTGGATCCATTGCTACTTGAAGCATAGACTACTCATTTAGTTGTTTGGTCATGTCATTTATCTGCCACTGTGGATACAGAGTATTTGGCTAAACTTATTGCTACACTCATCAAGAGTGTTTTTCTTTGGGGAAAGATGAGGTATAGGTACTTATACCCTGACAAATCATACAGTGTTTCCTGTCCTGGTGGCTTTATCCTCTTTCTTGATCTGGATTATTATATAGTTCAGTTAGACACGGAGTTGGGCATGTAGGTTTTGTGGCATACATATTGGTTGCTAGCTCACAAGAATGTGAGAATAATGTGCTACCACGTTAGGTCAACTGGTCCCAAAGGCCTGACCTGTGTGCAGTGGTCTGTGGCAAGATTGTGACTTTCTTCTGTTTTATTAAGGTCTGAAAAAGTCTGCACAATATCGTTCGCCAAGTGTGTGGGTTGGTATACAGAAGACACATGTTTTGAATCCCAGGACCTTCAAGAACTGTTTAGGGGGAAGGTCTAATTAGACCTGCATTTTTTTTTTTTTTTAAATGGCACTCAGCCTTAGTAGCAAATGACACTTATGCATTAAAGAGCCCACACTGATGGGCTTGCAATAAATGTTAAATCACAACAATTAAGTTTAATGAGAATGAATGAGTTGTCTTACTGCATTGCCTTGGCTCCCTGGGATGCCTGCTCACCTCCGTTTACAAGATTCTTCCTGGCTGTTCCTACTCGCTTTATTCTCATTGTAATGGGGTCACCTAGTTTTGACCCTTTCTCCTTGTAGACTCTGTCCTTCTTCCTCACCTGTCAGTAGTGGCAAGCTTGACCACTCCCACCCTTCTTTTATCTTCTTTCCTGATACTTTCAGTTCTCTATTTCACTAATTTTCATTCCCCACCTTCTCTCTTCATCCTCATTCTTTCTCCCCCTCCCTCCCTTTCCTCTTCTATCTTTGCCCGGCCCCTTTCATAAGACTTTTCCTCTAGCAAGTATCTTGCCTAGCCTTGGACGGGCACATTCTCACCGACATCGATGCCTTATGGATGAAACAACTACTCTGCTCCAAGTGGAAAGAAACCAGGGAAAGTAAAAACGGTTGCAATGCAAACAGGGTATTGCTAAACGCAAGCCCGTAACAAGGTTGTTTTTAAGCAAGTAATGTTTGCTTGGGGGAGATCAAGCTACCAAGGGTTCTGTCTGTTATACCCATACATGGCCTTGTTTGTAACTACATGCTTCCTGCTTATCTATCCTGTAGGATTCTAAGTGGGACAAAAGGACAGAAGTTTAAAGGAGGATAATCTTTTGATATTTGGTAGTCAGCTTTTCTCTTTTCTGTTTGGTGCCAGCTCAGGAACTGACTCACTTCATTTTTAACGGGTTCTCGGAATATTCAAAGTATCCATATCATACCCCTCCCAGAAATTCTCCATTTACAGCCAGGATTATGACTCTACAGAGGGAGAAAGATCTGTGCAGGTCCCCAGAGATGGTAGAAGCTGTTCTAGCGCTTTGAGAGGATGGAGATAAGGTGGAAGAAGTGATGCCAGCAATCCAACCATTGTCACACCCCTCCTGAAGGCCCTTTTAGGAGAACATAGAAATTCTACACAAAACACAGGGGATAAGACACCACACTCCATCCTGGGGAACAAAAGTGAGCATACCAATCTCCTACTCCTTGGTCTGAGTTGTGGGCTTTGCTGCATCAAACCGATATGTTTGGAAGGCCACCCAATCTGTCTTCCCACCAAACAGGAAGTCCTGTCCCCCACTCCCTTTTTTTCCTGGATATAGAAAGGGCCGAACAAGGACTCATGCTTGAGTCCTCAAAGAATGGCAGGATGCCCTTAGTGGAGGCAGACTGTATTTAAATGCAATTCACCTCTTTGGGGTCTAGGAAAAGCCACCCGTAGATTCATTTGCTGGGAAACACGGTCTGTGTGGCTGAGGCAGTAGACACTGGGGTTGCGGCCTTGCCAAAAGCTGACTTTCTCCGGAGGTCTGTCTGCTGACCAGAGTGGCAGCCGCTTCTGTGGGCGAATAGGATGGTCATCTCTGGGCCCGAGGGGGCTGCTTCGGGTTGGGACCCCTTAGGAATGACTGGCTGTTCAGGCTTTCCAGAGGCAGGATGGGAAGTGTAATGTTTGGCGGGAGGAGGGCTGTAATTCTGGAATCTCACGGTTTTGACTTGCTGCGAGAGAAAGGAGAGAAAAAGACATGAATGAGATGGGAGACAGGTTCAGTTTTCCTTGCAACTTGGTTCGTGCTGTTTTTCTACATTTGTCCCCAGTCAAAATGCAGTCTTTATGTGTGTTCACTCAGCAACTATTTGTGTCTACTGCGTCTATTACGCGTCATGCACTGTTAGGTGCTGTGAATGCAAGAGTGAGAAAACCACCCTGACAGGTAATTATAACAAGTGGTGTGATGGAGGGAGTCTGAAATGCCGAGAATGCAGAGGAGTATCTAACTCCAGCTGGAACAGGGGAGTCAGAGAAGTCTCCCTAGGGCCAGAGCTGTTACATCGAAGACTGAAGGATTAGACATTATTTGGGAGAAACGGGGTAGGCAATGGCAAGAGGGTGTGATCCTTTCTAGAGAAATCTCACCTTCCCTCTCTCCTCCTGCCTAGCAGTAAGGTCTTTCTCAAGGCCCGCCTCTTCCTTGAGGTCTCTCCTAATGACTCCATTTAGAGATTTCCATATTGGCCTTATAAATCCTCAGAGCAGAGTTTGCCAACTAGACACCTGCTGGCTGAATTTAGCCTGCAGAATGTTCGAGAGTGATTTACTTGTCACCATATACAAATTGGAAGACTGTAAATAAAAATCAGGATTTCATACATCTCTTAAAAAAATCAAAGGTCAGTAGGCCAGGCCTATGCCTCATTCTGGCAACAACCGGCTGAGGCAAACAGTTGTTTCCCTTTTAGATGAGAGGCATGGTCGCCATGACCTCAAACCCCACAGGAGCTCCCTTCCTTTCGCCTCTCCTGGCTTGTTTCATCTCTCCTAGTTTGTTATGTATCTGTCTCGTACCTGTAAGTATTTGCTCTGCTCAATCTTAATCTTAAGGCTTAATAAACAGACATGAATATTATCAGGAACAAGAATGCAAAGTACTCTGTTGAAAATGATAGTAATACATAGGGTAGTAACTTTGATTTGATTTTCATAAACTGCGTGCATGCTTTGAGAAACCATATTGTATGTTAGAAAGATGTACAAATATTATATTGGGTCGTTGGAAAAGTCATTACGTATTTTTCTATGCAAAATGCATCATAACTTTTTTAGCTCCCTTCCTTTCGCCTCTCCTGGCTTGTTTCATCTCTCCTAGTTTGTTATGTATCTGTCTCGTACCTGTAAGTATTTGCTCTGCTCAATCTTAATCTTAAGGCTTAATAAACAGACATGAATATTATCAGGAACAAGAATGCAAAGTACTCTGTTGAAAATGATAGTAATACATAGGGTAGTAACTTTGATTTGATTTTCATAAACTGCGTGCATGCTTTGAGAAACCATATTGTATGTTAGAAAGATGTACAAATATTATATTGGGTCGTTGGAAAAGTCATTACGTATTTTTCTATGCAAAATGCATCATAACTTTTTTGATGACCCAGTGAATAAGAATTCATAAAATTAAAAAAAAAAGAGATGTTTTGTGGTACTGTTTAGGAATAATTTCTTCTTTTTTTCCATGAAATTTATTCCTCGTGTTTTCTAATGAGAATCCAAGTTTCTTTTGACTCTCATCATGTTTAGCACTAAATACTTATAGTTTGAGAGCTGGATTTAATACCTTGCTGTAATGGGCAACTGAGACCTGAAAATCTTCGAATTGTTTGAGTATTATAATTCAGAGTAAGAACTCTCAACATTTGCATCACTCAACACTAGCTTTTCCCAAATACCTTTCCCTATAATAGCTCTTTCTAAATACCTTTCCCTATAATAGCTCCTTCTAAATACCTTTCCCTATAACAGCTCTTTCTAAATACCTTTCCCTATAATTCTCTCTTACAGCTTAGCATTAAGAGCAGGCATTTTTCAAGATCTGGATTCTACTCCAGACTCACATGTATCAGGATGTGCTCCTGGATAATGTTCTTTAACTCTGGAGATCTGCTTTTCCTTATTTTAAAAAAGGGATAGGTAATACCTACTTCAGAGGAATGCTGTCAGCATTAACTGAGTTGGTAAAAAACAACAAGACCCTGGCATTTGATAGAAAGTGGTCGGATATGGAGGAAGTAAACCAAGATATGAAAAAAAGATATTGTATGCATCCACTTAATATATACTGATTATCTGCACTCTATGGTAGAGATCAAAATGTTGGTGGACATAAAAGCAGTGAAAATAGTTAACAATGATAAGACAGTGTGGAATGGGGCAGGAGAAGGGAAGAGTATTGAGAAAGATAGCAAGAGAACAAATAGAGAGGCATGACATCAGTAGGGCACAAATACAATTTACTACCTGTTGATGACGTGTATAGTAGTTTCACCTGGACTGATCTGAGAAGAATTTCATGTTGGGTAAAGTCTTTTTACAAGCAAAATGATAAATAGTGATTGACTGTTTAAAAAAATAATTGTAACAATAATAATAATAATTGGGAAAAAAATGAAAAGTTATTGGATGATGAAATGGGGATTTTAATGTCTCTGTATTGACTGACATGCATGGTATTCTTTCTGGAAAAAGAATTGTAATACACTGTAAAGTTATATGTGATTCAATGTAATACAAACAAGGTTATGATGATAATAAATAAATAAATAAATAGAAAAACAAGGATTAAATGAATTGGAACACTTGAAGTTTTCATTGCAGTGCCTGCCAGGTCACTAGTATTCAGTAAATACTTAACAGATAGAAAACAATTAGGTCATCGGGAAAGTCATGATGTATTTGTCTATGCATCATGACTTTTCCGACAAACCCAATACATTGTCTTTCCATTTTGGAGGGGATAGATGATGGTGGTATGGTGTTGATGGTGGTATGGTGGTGACAGCAGTGTGGTGGTGACGGCAGTATGGTGGTGACGGCGGTGTGGTGGTGACGGTGGTGTGGTAGTGGTGGTGGTGTGATGGTGGTGGTGCGGTGATGGTGGTGGTGTGGTGATGGTGGTGGTGGTGACGGTGGTATGGTGGTGATGGAGGTGTGGTGGTGATGGTGGGGTGGTGTGGTGGTGACGGCGGTATGGTGGTGACAGTGGTGGTGGTGGTGGTGATGGTGGTATGGTGGTGATGGTGGTGTGGTGGTGATGGCGGTGTGGTGGTGACGACGGTATGGTGGTGACGGCGGTGTGGTGGTGACGGTGGTGTGGTGGTGATGGCGGTGTGGTGGTGACGGCGGTATGATGGTGATGGCGGTATGGTGGTGATGGCGGTATGGTGGTGATGGCGGTGTGGTGGTGACGGTGGTATGGTGGTGACAGTGGTATGGTGGTGATGGTAGTTTGGTGGTGATGGTAGTTTGGTGGTGATGGTGGTATAGTGATGGTGGTGGTGATGGTGGCAATAATAGTGGTAATGCTCATGGTGGTGATGATCATAATGGTAGTAATGATGCTGGCAATAATGGTAGCGGGGTTGGCAAAAGATGGTGGTGTTGGTGATAGTGGTGGTTATGGCCAGGTAATGATGATGTTGATGGTGGTGATAATGTTGAAAAAACTGAAAGATGACAATAAGCATCATCTAATTTTTTTAACGTAACCTCTTCTTCTTCCCTACCCCTCCTACCTCAAAGATATCAATGAAACCTAAGCCTTTTATAAAAACTTAAGTCTTCTGGTTGGAAAAGCCCAGGACTGGGAGTTAAGGGATGTGACCCATGTTCTAAGGGTCAATAAGTTGGTTGTTGGAGTTATCATTCAGTGTGACCTTGATGTCTCCTGTGTCTCATTTGCCTCTTTCATACAATAAATAATTATGTATTTACAAAGCCCTTTGTAAGCACTACCTATATCACATTTGATCCCCACTCTAATCCTATATGACCACTCCTATTCTGTCATTAGGCAAAAAGAAAAAAAAAAGTCCCATATAAGTGAAATGTCTTTGCCACAGTTACCCAACTAGCAAGAAGTAGAACTGGAATTTAAATCAAAATTTGTCTCATGACAAAGTCATTTTCCCCCCAAGTCATCTTGGGGACTCAAATGAAGTATGTATGAAATACATAGGAGAATCAGTAACACATCCCGGGAGGGCGAGGGTGCTGTGAGGATGTGGGTGGGGTGCAATGTGTGAGGATTCTGTTAGGGCTGCAACACTAAAAATCGCAGGAGCAAGGACACTGGGCAGAGTTGGGGTCTAAAGAGCCAGGGTCCCAATGTCACCTCACTCTTACCTTTTCGATGCCATTTCTTGAGTTTTCTGGTTTCACCAGGATTGATGGTGGAGCAGATGCAGGTGGTTTGGGCAGAGGCTCACTCTTGATGGGCATTTCCTTGCCTTCCATGATGAGGGAACTGGCAGCTGAGTGGATCCTGGTGTCACTGCCTTTGCTGATGCATGTGAGGGCAGGCTCCCCCGTGGGCGCAGGCTTGGGGCCCATCTCCACCACCACTGGTAAGGGGGAGGACAGGATCCCCTGCGGCTGGCAAATTTGGAACTGTTGAGGCCGTACGACCATGGTGGGGCTGCGTCTGAGGGAGCCCACCACAAGGGTGGGGATCCCTGACTGGACGGGTCTCTGCAGGGATCCATCTGAGGAATTATATGACAGAGATATCAGCAACAGGGGCGGCTGACAGCAGGTTGGGTCAGGGCTGGGTAAGCAGTGTGTCCTGATATCCCAGAATAGTTAAGTGCTTTCCTAATTTGACCGCACTCACATTCTCCCGGGGTCTTTCAAAGGTGACCTTATTCTTTTTTTAGTGCTGTTTGCTGATGCTGACAGCAAATAACTTGCTAGCTGACTGTCCTGTGTCTGTGTCGGGGGGAGGTAGTCAGAAAGTGTATTGCTTCCATCTGCCCCCTCTCTCTTTCTCACACACACACACTCTCTCTCTCTGTCTCCGGC